TTGAGCTGCACGAGTCAACGCACAAAACAAAACAAAACACACGAGGAGATGAGTCGTGGAACGCACACGCAAACGCACACGCACCACCGCACACGCACACGACATGTGAGCGAGATATGAGTGGAGCGGTACATTCGCCCTCGAGGGTGGCGTTCTGGCAGCGCTGCATGGCGGCTTCGGCCTGCTGCCGGGTGGCAAAGTGGACGAAGGCGTGGCCGAGCACGGCCCGTGTGGTGACGTCGAGGGGGATGACCACCTTCTCGCAGCCGTCGCCGAAGAAGGCCTTCATGGCTTCGGCGTTGGTCGTGGGCGACACGCCGCGCACGAACAGCGACTTGACGCGCGCGAGCATGTCCTCCTCCTGCGTGCGCGGCTCGGCCATGTGGACGTTGAGGTAGAGCCCGAACACGGGCGTTGACTGGAGCAGCCGCATGCCCTGCACGGCGCACTTGTGGTCCTTGAAGGTGGCCCACCCGTAGCCCTTCGACTCGCCCTCGAGGGTCGTGCACAGCTTGAACTTGGTCACCTCATACGTCTACCTCCGCCGCCGACGCCGGTCAGCTTCAGCTTCAGCCACACGACACACGCACTCACACTCACACACGACACACGACACACACGCGGTGGTGAAGAGGGGAATGGTCGAACCGTGGTGGCCTCCTGGAGCGCGAGCCGGACGTCGTCTTCGGAGAGGCCGCGCGGGATGTTGCCCACGTAGAGCACGTTCTTGGGATCGGCTCGCACCACCTTCACCGTTTGTCTGTGTGTTCATCGCACGAACGGTTGGAGGAGGAGGAGCGCAGAGAGTTGGCTCGGCTGGGGGACGAGAGCGAAAGCGAAAGCGAGAGAGAACGAAAAGCGGAGGGAGAACGTACACCCGGGCCGACACGGCATCTCGAAACGATGGCAGGACGGCCATGTCGAGAGCGGCGTGGACCGCGTCCAACGTCGCGAACTTTACAAACCCAAACCCTGCAGAATATTCAAATAAAAATATAAATAATAGATGAATAAATAATCAACAAGATCAAGGTTAAATTGGGAGGAGAAGAATGAAGACAGGGGGTGTCCAGACCTTTGGTTTCGCCGGTGAATTTGTTCTTCACGACGAGAGCATCTGTGACCTGTCCCGCCGATGAGAAGGCATCTTTGAGCTCCTGATCTGTTACGCCTCGCGCGATGTCGGACACGAAGATGCCGTACTCGAGAGGCGGCTCGTCCCCCACGTCGTATTGGACCCTTTGCTGCTGGTGGTGGTGCTGGTGCTGGAAGCCGTCGCGATTGCCACCTCCGCCGGTGCCATTGCCGGCACTGTGGCCACCATTGGGGTCAGACGGCCAAGGAGCGTTCTCTTGCATCTGACTTCTTCAACGGCACCGTTGTGCTGCCACCTCTTGAGCACCACCTCTCCAACGATAGATAGATGGCCAGCAATGGCCAATCTTGCTTTTTGCTGATTAATCGAATTGGAGAGAAATAGAAGGAAAATGGTGATATGTCGACAGGAAAACACTTTTTTTGTTGGTTTTTGAATTCTCCGCAAACGCAGCGAAGTCGCGACCCCACAGACGCGAGCCTGCCAGCAGCGCATCACATCCCATCTCCCAGCCAACGCTTCCCCGCCCCAAAACCATCCAACACAACTCGAACCAACAGCCGCGGCCCACACTTACTCAGTTTTGCCCACCGAAGCGACCCCAACAATTAATTATCCACGCAACAATAATGTCGTACGATTCAGACAGATCGGATGGCGAGGATGAACTCCTTTGCCCACTTTGCATGGACGAACTGGACGTAGGCGATCGCAACTTCAAGCCCTGTCAGTGCGGCTACCAGGTAGACCACCCCCTCCCAGCTGCCCTCGATGCGGCCCTCTTTTTAATCTTTTTTTTCACCTCTGGGTTCTGTCGCGCAGATGTGCCGCTTTTGCTGGCATGAGGTAAAAGAAAATTTGAATGGCAAATGCCCTGCCTGTCGCCAAACCTACGAAGAGGAGAACTACACCTTCACCCCTCCCAACGCTGAAGAGTGCGCCATCTTTCCTGCCTCCCCCCCTTGCGTGTCTGCCCCTGCATTTCTTCTAATTTTCTTCATTCCTTCGCATATACTCGTAATGATGGCAGAATCGCGCAACAGCTTGCCAGGAAGAAGGAGAAGGAGAAGAAGCGAAAGAAGGAGGACAAGGTTAGCAGGAAGAATCTTGCGAATGTTCGAGTCATTCAGAAGAATCTCGTTTACATCACCAATCTTGCCCTCAGCGTTGCCAAGGAAGAGGTACCCTCTCCCCTCCCTGCCCTTCATCACTTCTCCACTGCCTTTAACTCCTCTTCTTGCCTCGCATTTTCTTCTCTTCTCTACCCCCCCCCAAACACCCAACGCTGCCATTTCATCTTACGCTGCCTTTTAATGTGCGCAGATCCTTCGCAAGCCGGAGTACTTTGGGCAGTATGGCAAGATCCAGAAGGTCGTTGTAAATAAGAACAACCTCTACAACATAAGCTCGCCGGGCGGACCCAGCGTCAGTGCGTATGTTACCTACTTCCGTCCGCCAGACGCCCTGACGGCGATCAAGGCGGTGGATGGTGCGTGGCTCGGCGGACGAACCCTCAGGTAAGAAAAATCTCTCCGCTCTCCCGCCACGTTCATATCTTTCTTCTTTCAATTCACAGCACAAATTTGCGCTGTTTTCAACATGTTGCGCTCCGGAGACGTAAATCAATCAAACAAACGGTTTTATTTGTTATGCCTGTGGCCGGCACGTCGCTGCGCTTGCTCCTCCTCGAGCAAGCCCACCACGTTAAACTGTAGCGCGCGGAGCTGCGAGAGCGACGCTGACACCTCCACCCTTTGTGGCATCTCTCGTCCATGTTGCAGGGCGTCATTTGGCACGACCAAGTACTGCACCTACTTCCTCAAGCACATACCGTGTACCAATCCCGATTGCATGTACCTGCACGAGCTGGGCGACGAAGCTGTCAGCTTTACCAAGGAGGAGATGGCCGTTGGGTGCGACACATACCCCTACCTCCCCACCATGGACCCTCATGTCGCGATCTCACCCTGCATTCTCAACGTTGCACCAACCACCACAGTAAGAGCAGTTTCCACAACAAGATCCATCCATCGCAGCTCGAAGGGTATGCGCTCGCTCGCCGCCGCTGCCGCTGCCGCTAATATTCGCCAAATCTCTGGCCTTTTCACGAACAAGTGCACTTCTCTCGTTTTCTCTTCTCTCTTCCCTTTTCTCTTCTCTCTTTTCTGTATCGACGTCGAGCAGGAAGGTCGGGTTGCCGCCACCGCCAGGTCTGGACGCGGCCGACGACGAGGGATCGTCCCCGGCCAACGGGCACCCGCCATCCAGCAACAAGCCGCCACCATCTGCCGCGCGCGAGATCGGAAGCGCCGATTCCGATGCTGCCCACAAGGACAGCAATGGCAGCGATGCCCAAGCCAAAGGTTTGTGTGTTGTGTGTGTCGTGTGTCCCGTGTGTGTTGCGCTGTGGGTGATGCTCACCGCCGTGGTCGTGGTATGCGCAGACCCAACAGGAGGGAGCAAGCAGGTGAAGCCGGCGTGGAGCAAGATCCCGACTGCGCCCACGGCGCCTGCCGTGCGGATCAACTGCAACGAGTGGCCCACCCCCAACGCCACCCCGACGCCACCGCCGCCCCCGGTCAAAGCCAAGCCGTCGGTCAACCCGCTCTCCCGATCCGAGGACAAGGCGGCCACCGTCTCCCAGTCCGTCCTCCCGCCCACCGCTTCCTGGTACGCGTCGTCATTCCATGCATTCGTTGAATATTTGAGAAAGAGTGGATATTGTTCGGAATGCTGACGTGTCGCGTGATGTGTACTTTGCAGGGCGTCGAAAGCCAACACGGCGACCGCTGTGGGTGCGGCGGGCGGTGCCAGCAAGCTGAAGCAATCCGCGCCAGTTCTGTCGACACGAGAGCCAAGCGATGTCGACAGTACGCCGCCGGCGGTGTCCACGGCCGACGCCGACACGGACAAGGACGCCGAGAGGGAGAAGGAGGAGAAGCGGAGCAACAAGGCCAAGCAAAAGGAGGAGAAGAGGGACAAGGAGAAGGAGACCAAGTCGACGACGACGCCAGAGAAGAAGGACACCAAGGCCAACAAGGAGAAGAAGGCCGAAGTGGCGGACGTCGGCGGCGACACAGCAAAGGAAAAGGAGCAGGAGAAGGAGAAGGAAGTCACACCCAGCACGGCCAAGACGAAGGAAGCCAAGAAGAAGGGAGCTGCCAAGGTACGCTTCTTCAAGGCACCCACTGTGTGTTGTGTGTGTCGCTGTTCTCACGCACTCGGTGCCTACGTCAGACGGAAGTCGCTGGCGCGGATGCCCCGGAGGCCCAACCCGCCAAGGCCGCCAAGGAAGCCGAGCGACAGCGACAAAAGGAAATGGAAAGGGAAAAGGAACAGCAGCAACGAGAAAAGGAACAGCTGCAGCTGCAGCAACAGCGCGAGCGAGAGCAGAAGGAGCGGGAACTCCGAGAACAGCGGGAGAAGGAGGAGAAGGAAAAGGAGAGAAAGGAAAAGGAAAAGGAGAGCAGGCAGGGCAAGGGCAAGGGCAACAAGGCCAAGTCGGACGCAGCTGCGGACGGCGGCGAGCAGGAGGGAGGCACCTCGCTCACGACCTCCTCGTCGGCAGTCGCCCCGACCGCCGCCGCGGTGTCGTCAGCGGCGCAGGCCAAGAAGGCGCGCACCACGGCGCCACGCAAGAACAAGAAGGACAACAAGTTCGTCATCATCGAGCCCACCTACGTCACGCCCACGCCCTCGGCCGATAAGGACGGCGCCGATTCGGGCGACAGCAACAAGCGGAAGGACAAGAAGGGCGGCAACAACGCCAACAACAAGCGCGCCAATGCCGCCGCTGCCGCTGCCGCCTCTGGTGGCTCGCAAGCCGCGACGCAACAGACAAGCCCTGGCGGTTCGCCCGGCATGCCGCCAGGCCTGTCAGCGTCATCGACGGGCCTGCCCACCAAGTCGCCCACCACCGCGCTGCTCCATCCGCTCTCGCTGTCGACGTCCGCGGTGCCGTCGACACGCCTGCCGCCAGGCTTCGCTCCGCCGCCCGGCTTTGCCGGTGCCGGTGCCGGTGCCACGCCAGCAACGACTGGCTCCGGCTCGGGTCTGGTCCGTCCGTCGTCGCCACCGTCGGTGTGGGACGAGCTCGTGGAGGACGACGACGAAGAGCTCCTCCGCAGCGTGCTCCCCGCCGCGGCTCGGCTCCACCAGTCCGCCAGCGCGCTGCTGACGTCATCACACAACACAAAGGCCGCCTCCGAGACGGAGCCCGGCGGCGCCCCGGCGCTCTCCGTCAATCGGATCAGTCCTCGGGTGTCGACCGATAACTGGGAGAGCGTGGTGTCGACGCCGGCCAGCGTGCGCTCGAGCGCAAGCGACAACGAGAGCGATGCCGAGGACCACGACGACGATGTCGAGGACTCGTTCGACCCGTGGGCCGAGCTCGGGCTCGAGGACCTCATCACGCAGAGCAACATCGAATTCGAGGACGACGACGAGGAGGACGACGACGAGGAGGACGCCGAGGAGGAAGACGAAGGGGAGAACGAGGAGAACCGCGACGACGAGGGGACCACCAGCCCCGCGCCCGTGCCCAGCAGCCAATCGGCCTGGGGCGTCGGCTCCGCAGTCGTCAAAACCGACAGGTACGCGCGTTTCCATTCATGTCCTGTGTGTCGTGTCGTTGGTCGTGTCGTCTTTGCTCACCCGGCGCCTTTTGTGTTTGTGCAGCGCCCAATCGCCTCGTGTAGTGAGGAGCGGCAGCGGCGTGGTGACGCCGCCGGGCTTCTGGGGCATGCCTTCGGCCGAGGATCGCGCGCCGGCCGCTGCCGCCGCCGCCGGCAAATCCTCGGTGGCGCCGGTGTCTACCGAGCGTTCGCGCTCGCGCTTCGGCTTCGCCATGGAGGAGAGCGAGGAGGGCGACGACCACCCGCCCCACCACCAGCACCGCAGACGCGGTGACGGCGACGAGGGCGAGGGTCAGCGCATCGACAACATGTCCGCCCAAGGTGCGCCATCCTTGCTCGCCTCAGGCCCTGTTGTGTCTATGTGCTCACGAGACACGACACGACACGACACACAGCTCTGCTTGGCGGTCCTGCGTCCGGTGGCAGCAGCAGCAGCAGCACGCCGAGCGCGGGCCTGTTGGCGACGCCCCCTCTGGGCAACATCACCGTGGCGGAGTACATGCGACGCCAACAGATGGCCTCCCTCGCCGGGATGCCCCTCCCGCCCGGCGCCTACGCCGCCGGCGGAATGCCGCCCGGCCCGCCCCCGCCGCTGGGCTACGGCACCCCTGTCCCCGGCGCCGGCGTACCGCCTCCGCAGATGGTGCACCACGCCGGCCAGCAGCCCGCCCAGGCACCGTCGACGTCACAGCAGCAGCAGCTGCCACAGGCCCAACCTCAGCCGCAGCAGTCGCATCGGAAGGAGCCGCCGGTGGCCGACTCGGTGCGGGAAGCCTTCCGCGCGCTGTTCCCGGCCACGGTCAACATCAGCTTCGCGCCGGTCGGCCCGTCGCCGCCGTCGTCGGGCGGGGCCGGCCCGCAGCCGCCCGTGCCCGTGCCCGTGCCCGGCCTCCCTGCGCACGTCCCCTTCCGCGACCAAGGTACGCATTTTTGCCCACATCTGTGCGTGTGCGGTGGTGTGCGGTTTGTTGACTGGCGTTCTTCGTGATCACGCGTGCGTGCGGTCTGCAGGGAACTGGGGCGCGCCGATGGGTGTGTACGGTGCGCCGCATCACAAGCAGTCGATGTCGCCCATCTTCAACCCGTCGTCTCCGTGGGGTCCGCCCACGATGGTGCCCCAGCCGCAGCCCCAGCAGCAGAAGGCGCCCCAGGGCTTCCCGCCCAACGGCAAGAGCGCCGGAGGGGTGTGGGGTCCGCCCGGCATGCAGCAGCAGCAGCAGCAGCAGCAGCAGCAGGACTCCTTCCTCCTCCAGCAGCAGCAGCAGCAGCAGATGGCCATGGTACTACTCACCCACGCTAGCCGCTACATTGATGGCATTTTTCTCATTCCTCATTTTTGAAATGGGTAGCAGCAGGCGTTGGCCAAGCAGCAGGAGGCCCAGATGCAGCAGCAGCAGCAGCAGCGTAAGGGCCAGCAGCAGCAGAATCTTCCGCTGAAGGATCCCTCGGGCAAGCAGCAGCAGCCGGTGCCCATGTCCTACGCCCAGCAGGCCAAGAAGTCGTCGACCTCGTCCACTTCGTCGTCGTCTTCAAACTCCTCCCCACCCATCGGCCAGCAGCCCCACCCGCAGCATCTCCACCACCACCAGCAGCAGCTCCACCATCAGCAGCAACAGCAGCAGCACCACCTTCAGCAGCAGCTCCAGCAGCAGCGAATCAACACACCGGCGCCCGGCTATCCCGCGGGCGCCGGCAGTGGCCCGCAGAGCACCAAGGCCGCCGGTGCCGCCGCGCGAAAGCCCAGCGGACAGCCCAACGGCACCCAACCGACGGCGCCTCTCTCGGGCGGCGGCGGTCCGTTCCACGACCCGGCGATCATGGGCCAGGGCATCGCGTTCGACATGCGATCCATGAGCGAGAGCGCCTGGGCCGGGGCCTACGCGCGCGCGTTCCCGATGGCGCCCCCGGGCATGGCCCCCGGCGGCGGTCCGCCCATGGTGGGCCAGATGCCGCCCGGCCTTGCCGGCGGCGCCGGTGCCGGTATGGGACCCAACCCGCGGGCCGGCGTCACGCCACCGGGTGCGGGCATGCCCCTCATGGCCCCACCGGGCTTCAATTTTGCCGCCTCGGCCGCCTCCCAGCACCAGGCCCTCCTGCAGCATCAGTACCACCAGCAACAGGTGCGTTCATCATCATCATCATCATCATCATCATCATCATCATCATCATCATCATCATCATCATCATCATCATCGGTGTGTAGTTGTGGTGGTGGCTCATGACTGATGATAGTTTGTGGTGGTGTTGTGAGAGTAGCAGGCGGCACTGTACCAGAACGGAGGGATGGATGTGGTGCACGGCAAGCGGGTGACACCAGAACATCAGCAGCACCTTCAGCAACAGCAGCAGCACCTTCACCTTCAGCAGCAGCTGCACCAGCAGCAACAGCAGCAGGCCGAACAGGCCCGACGAAACAATGCCCAGGCCGGCCGACACCCTCGTGCCACCAAGCAAAACTGAGAACACACACCAACAACACATTCACAAACTCGACACAATACACAGAGCCTTTCACACAGCACGATGCGTCATTATCATCATCTTTCTTCGTGCGAGTGTTACACTCCACTGGCCTCGCTTAGACGTGGAGCTGGGCGGCGGTCTTGTGGTCAAAGTCGCGGAGGAGGTGAGCGTCGCGGGCAAGGACTGGATCGACCTCGTCGCGCACGAACTCCTCGACCTGCTGCGGCGCACGGCCGACGAACTTGGCCGGGTCGAGCATGTCGTCGATCTTGTGTCGCACGGCGGCAAAGTGCGGGTCGTTGCGGATGCGCTCGATGAGGTCGTTGTCGAGGCCCTGCTCCTTGACCAACCGCCCGGCCTCCATCGAGTGCTCACGGATCGACTCGTGGAGGGCCTGGCGGTCGCCGCCGGCCTTGACCGCTGCCATGAGGATGTTCTCCGTCGCCATGAACGGGAGCTCGGCGTCGATGTGCTTCTTGATCACCAGCGGCCACACCTGGAGGCCGTCGACGACGTTGCAGGCGACGCGCAGAATGACGTCGGTGGCGAGGAAGGCCTCGGGCAGGGACAGTCGGCGGTTGGCAGAGTCGTCGAGGGTGCGCTCGAACCACTGATTGGCGTGCGTGTGCGCCGCGTTGTCCGTCAGCGAGATCACGTACCGAGCCAGCCCGCAGATCCGCTCACTGCGCAGGCACGCACACGACCGCACACGCACGGTGAGGTGAAGGGCGGGTTGGCAAGAGAGGAGGCGAAGGTACGCAGTACCAGCGCATGGGGTTGCGCTTGTAGGCCATGGCGCTGGAGCCGATCTGCTTGCTCTCGAAGGGCTCCTCGATCTCCTTCAGGTTCATCAGCAGCCGGATGTCCACCGCCATCTTGTTCAGCGATTGGGCCACCGCCGAGAGCGAGCTCAGCACCTGCACCGCAAGGGCGCATCTGTCTTGTGAGTCGTACCACCCACAGTGCGTGTGCGTGTGCGTGTGCGTGTGCGGTATGTACCTGATAGTCGATCTTGCGGGTGTAGGTCTGACCGGACACGCCCAGCGACTTGTTGAAGCCCATCATCTCCGTCACGCGACGGTCCAGCTCTCGCACTTTGTTGTGATCGCCGTTGAAGAGCTCCAAAAATGACGCCTGCGTGCCGGTCGTGCCCTTGACGCCGAGGAACGGCAGACGATTGGCGCGCTCGCTCAGCTGCTCGTAGTCGAACAGGAGGTCCTGCAGCCACAGCGTCGCTCGCTTGCCCACACTACGACACACACACACACACACACACACACACACACACACACACACACACACACACGACACGACACGCATGCGCACAGCACGACACGAACACAGCTTTCAGGGGTGGAAACGACGGGCGGGCGAGAGAGTGGCCGCGTGGTGTGGGTACGTGACAAGCTGGGCGGGCTGGTAGTGGGTGAACCCGAGGGTGGGGAGGTCCTTGTAGCGGAGGGAGACCTCGCGGAGGTGCTGCATCAGCTGCAGCATGTGCTGCTGCACGATACGCAGCCCGTCCCGCAGCTGAATCAGATCTGTACTCTCGCAACGCCCGCGTCAGTTCACGCCCAGGCCGTGTGCGATGGTGCATGCGTGTGCGTGTGCGTACCGGTATTGTCGGTGACGTAGCAAGAGGTAGCGCCAAGGTGGATGATGGGCATGGCCGTGGGGCACACGGTGCCGAAGGCGTGGATGTGAGACATAACGTCGTGCCGCACCTCCTTCTCCTTCTTCTCAGCCGCTGCGAAGTCGATGTCGTCCAGGTGCGCGCGCATCTCCGCCAGCTGCTTCTCCGTGATCGGCAGACCCTGGTGGTGTAGTCTCGGGTGAGCAACGCCACAAACCGCGCTACAAAAGGTGCCTTGCCTTGGCAGAAAGATGAACGGGCGTGCACGTACGAGTTCCTTCTGGGCCTCGGCGAGGGCGAGCCACAGGCGGCGCCAGGTGGAGAACTTCTTCTGCGGGGACCAGTTGCCACTCATGGCCCGACTGGCGTAGCGGCTTACGAGGGGATTCTCAAACACTGTGCAGAACAAAATGTGATTCGAGTAGCGGGATTTATCGATGAATGGTATTGTGGTGGCGGTCGATGAGAGGTACCATCACGGTGGGAAGAAGTGGCGAGAGGCCGGGCGGTGGCCAGGAGCAGGGACTCACCACCGGCTTGCCGAAGCAGGAGTCGGGATGCCGAGGAGGCGCCGACGAGACCCGACCTCATGGTGCTGGCAGAGCCAAGAGGCCACGCGCACTTGGTCACCACGCCTGCACGCTTCATGCTACGCTGCCTCTAATCTCTTCGAAATGCGAAAACGAAGACAAAAGGAAATCATTTCTTTATTCTGTTTTTCAGCTCTGCGCCAGTATTGAGCGCACCTTCAACGCAGAGCACAAGCCTTCTTGTGAACCTTGAAAAAGCATGCGTGCTTTCTTCGGCAGCACCTCTCCATCGGCGGCGCGTTGTGCCGTGGGCCAGGTACCAACAATGCTGCCCATTTTTGTTAATTTCAACAAATCATTTGCACTCATCCCAAAGGGAATTTCTAATGACTGGCTTTCATCCTCTTAACACAAGGGATCCATTCGTTCTTTCTCACTGGCCGCCAATGGTACCTGGTCCTTCGGTACGAGCAACCTTTCATTTATTAATTTCTCAATGCCATGCACCATTTTGTTTGCCATTGCGTCGCAAGATGCCTTCCGCTTGCCATCGTTCACACCGCTATTTATCTCTTTATTTTTAATCCTCGATTCCAGGAAATTAGCAACATCTCGCATGCTCACACCATTTCCTTTCCATTCTTTTGGGCCTCACAAGCCGGCCGCACCGCTGTGCTGAGCCGCAACCTGGCCGCGAGAAACTACTCGACCGCCACCTCCACCACCACCACCGAGGAGGCCGCCCCGGCAGCTGCGGTCGCCACCCCGGCCGCCGAGGCCGTGGAGAAGCCCAAGGTCGAGGAGCCGAAGCCCGCCACGCCCAAGGTCGAGAAAAAAGGTCTCCCCTTCCGACCATGGCATCCATGGAATGTGATCGCTAACATGTGTCGTGTGTCGTGTGCGTGTTGTGTGCGCATCAGGTAATATCTCGCGGGTGGCGGCCGAGCAGGTGATCGCCGTGATGGGCGGCCAGTGGGGCGATGAGGGCAAGGGCAAGCTGGTCGACGTCCTCGGCGCCAACTTTGACATCATCGCACGCTGCGCCGGCGGCTCCAACGCCGGTATACCAGGCCCCTTACTCTTACGCTCCTGTGACCACCGACACTCACTGTTGTGACGCTGTGTGTGTGCCGTGTGTGCCGTGTGTTGTGTGTGGTCCGCAGGACACACTGTGATCGTGGAGGGGAAGAAGTACGCGTTCCATCTGCTGCCGTCGGGCATCCTGCACGAGCGCCCCGTGTGCCTGATCGGCAACGGCACGGTGGTGCACGTGCCCACGCTCCTCAAGGAGCTCACGTCGCTCGATGAGAAGGGCGTCAACTACAAGGGACGCGTCAAGCTCTCCGACCGCGCCCACGTCGTGTTCGACTTCCACCAGCAGATCGACGCCTTCCTCGAAGACGCCGCCAAGAAGGTTCCCTCCCCCCCATCGCACCTCGCCTTTGCCACCGAACGAGGGCTGACACGCGTCACCGCACACGCACCACCGCACACGCATGACCGCACGCGGCAGGGCAACAAGGATGGGTCGATTGGCACGACACGCAAGGGCATCGGACCGGCGTACGGGGCCAAGATCGGTCGGGTGGGCATTCGCGTGGGCGACCTGCGCTTCCCCGACACGCTGCCGGAGAAGCTGACCAAGCTCGTCGAGTACTACCAGCGCTCGTTCCCGCTCGAGGTCAACCTCAACCACGAGATCGAGGCCTACAAGGCCTTCGCCCACAAGCTTCAGGTGCGCCGGTGTGTGTGGTGTGCGCGGTGGATTTAGGATGGAGTTGACTGACGACGTACGCACACGACACGACACGCAGCCGATGATCGTGGACAGCGTGCACTACATCAACAAAGCCTACGGCGAGGGCAAGCGCATCATGGTGGAGGGCGCCAATGCCACCATGCTCGACATCGACTTTGGCACGTGGCCCTACGTCACCTCCTCCAACGCCTCCATCGGCGGCGCCGTCACCGGTACACCGACCCCTCCCATCACACGCGTGCGGTCGTGTCGTGTCGTGTTGTGTTGGTTTTGCTCAATGCGTGCGGCGTGGAAACAGGTCTGGGTCTGGCGCCGAGCAAGATCGACGGCGTGATCGGTATCGTGAAGGCCTACACCACGCGCGTGGGCGCGGGTCCGTTCCCGACGGAGCTCAAGGACGACCTGGGCGAGAGCATCCGCAAAATCGGCCACGAGTTCGGCACCACCACCGGCCGGCCCCGTCGATGCGGTTGGCTCGACGCCTTTGCCATAAAGTACGCAACCGCCGCACAACCGCACACAACCACACACGCACTCACACTCTTCTGATGACAGATATGCGCACATGATCAACAACTTCACGCTGTTGAACCTGACCAAGCTGGACGTGCTGTCCGACCTTGATGAGATCAAGATCGCCACGTCGTACAAGTACAACGGAGGTACCACACACCACACACCACACACCACACACCACACACCACACACCACACACCACACACCACACACCACACACCACACACCACACACCACACACCACACACCACACACCACACACCACACACCACACACCACACACCACACACCACACACCACACACCACACACCACACACCACACACCACACACCACACACCACACACCACACACCACACACCACACACCACACACCACACACCACACACCACACACCACACACCACACACCACACACCACACACCACACACCACACACCACACACCACACACCACACACCACACACACACACCACACACCACACACACACACACACACACACACACACACACACACACACACACACACACACACACACACACCACACACCACACACCACACACCACACACCACACACCACACACCACACACCACACACCACACACATCACACCACACACCACACACCACACACATCACACACGTACTCTCGGACACGCACTGATGATTTTCTTTTCTTTTCTTCGTCGCTTTTTTCCCTCTCTTTTGTAGAGCACCTCGCATCGTATCCGTCCAACCTGGAGATCCTGGACCAGGTCGAGGTCGAGTACGAGACGCTGCCCGGCTGGAAGAAGGACGTCTCTGGCGTCAGGTTCGCTCTTCTCCCCCTCTCCCTCCTGCCTCCCTGCCTTGGCTTACCAACAACACCCGACACAACACACACAACACAACACGCGCGTACAAACGTACACTTGCAGGTACTTTGAGGATCTTCCCGCGGAGGCCCGCAAGTACGTCGAGCGAGTGGAGCAGCTCGTGGGCTGCCCGATCGGTTGGGTACGTCCGCTGAACGCGCACCATCACCACCGATCCCTGCACAATGATGTTGATGCCGATGATGATGTGTTGACGCGCGTCCCAATGGTGGTGGTGATGTGGCTTTGTGCCACAGGTGGGCGTGGGACCAGGTCGCGAGGCCATGGCCATCCGGAAGCCCAAGTAGATGATGAAGTGTAGAGCACCACCGTCAACCACACCGCACTCTTCATCCCACTGTTTACTCTTTTGTGCCTCTGCAGCTCCGTGCTGGAAAAATAAACGTAGGAGGAGGAAAATGATTCTTTTTGTCCATTCTTTTGGATGGATCCGCAAGAGCAGGAGCAGGGAGGAGACGATGAAGCACGCTTGGGCGTGTGTTTCGTGCACCCCTCGTGGTTTGGCGGACCTTTGGGTCCTCACAACGTGCTCGACTTCTTCAGCGCCTCCGACTTTTATGACAAGTCATGCAACAACGAGGTACCGTCATTCACGATTAGATTTAATGGCCAGATAAATAATTATAAATCATACAATATCAATTATTATTATTGATTGGGGAGGCAGTTGCTGCGCATGCAAGAGCGCGACATGTCGCTGCTGCGGGCCATGACTGGCCTCGAGTACGAGATCCGCTACGCCGACGAGGCGCAAGGTTTCCCTCCCCTCTACTTGCTTGGCCTTCTTGAGGGGTGGGCGTGCTGATGCATGCCATGGGGCGTGCACGCTACTCTTCCCACATCCAACATCAACAACAACATCCAACAAACTACCATCTACCACACCGTGCAGGGATCTTCTTGCTCTGCAAGCAGATCCGAGAGAGCCCCGACCTGGCGCACCCGCAAACCTACTACTACGTCATGCACGGCACAGTCTACCAGTGCCCCACCATCCAGCACGTGCTCACAGCCCGCATGGTACGTTATAATATATACGTTTTCATATATGCTGCAGCTCTGTGATTGATCGCGTTTGTTGGCGTGACGCCGGCATCGATGACGGCGACGACAGACGACGTGCTCGTACCACCTGGAGGAGGCCTTCCGCATGGTGAGCGCTGCGGTGCGGTTCGACCCCTCGACGGAGCCCAACTACTCCTACGACTTCACCGCCGCTACCGACGCCGCCCAGCCATCCGCCGACGAGGATCCCGATCGCCCAGAAGGTGCCCACCCACCACGCGACCTTGTCGTCATTTTTTTAATGTCTAATTTGGCGCATCGTGTCGCGTGTGTCGCGTGTGTCGTGTGTCGTGTGTCGTGTGTGTCTAATCTGCACCCACACAGACGATGCGGCGGTGCCGGAGAAGACGCAAGAGGAGCTCTATCGGCTGCAGCAGACGGCCGACCGGTCCTCGCGCATCCTCAATTCCATCGTGGGCCAGGTTCGCCCATTCCCCCCTCGCCCCAGACGCGGACGCAGCTGGTCCGGCACTCACCTCAGGTCTGTTTGTTTCGGCGGTTGGATGGGGGGGGGCACACAGTTTCCACTGCCGGGCGAGGTTGTACGACCACCACCGCCCGCAGCTGCTGGAGGTCGAGCGCAGGGCAAGCGACCAGGAGACACTGCGGGCACCAAGAAGCGACGTCTTGTCGATCTCTGATTTTGATGGCACATAAAACAAAACCAAAAGGTCGAGGTTGAAGATTTCCGCATGTGGAAGTCGTTTACTTGCTTCGTTTGGTGGCGGTGGCGGTGACGGTCGTGGTGGTGGTCGCCGCGCGGCCCTTGCGGCCCTTGGCCGGCCCGAGTCCCTTGACCTTGACCGAGGAAACGAGGTCGCTGAGCGAGGAATCGCTGAACGGACCCTTACTGTTGCCGCCGGCGACCGTCTTCGCCTCCGACGAGGCCGCACCACCGGCTTCGGCCCGCACGCGCGATCGCTCCACGAGGATCTTGTTGACGGTCTCGCTGTTCTTCTTGATCCTGCAGAGACGAGGCGACAAAAGCAACGCGTTGACGTCAACCATCAGCCGGCGGCGCATCACGTCGCGCGTGTGTGTGAAGCGGTGCAGGTGCATTCATGAATGGACGTACCTGGTGGGATCGATGGCAAACTCGGGTGAGGTGACGAGCTCGCGGAATCGCGGGTCCTTGAGGTCGAGGTCGGCGGCGGCCTTGGCCTCCTCCCGGGCCTTGGCCCGGCGCGCGCTGCGGCCCTTGGGCTTGCCGCCGGTGGCGTCGTCGGCGGTCCGCTTGTGGGCGGCCCTGTGGATGTCCTCGTCGAGGGTGAGCAGGGCCAGCTCGGCCTCCTGCCTGCGCTCCTCCTCCGTCTTCTTCCCGCCGCGCGCCTTCTTTTTGTTGCCGCCCCGCTTCCGCCGCTCGGCCTCCTCGTCCTCCGAATGGCGGTCGCCGTCGAACTCGCCCGCGCCCTCAAAGAAGTCCGAATCCTCGTCGCTCTCCTGTGGTTGTGGTTGTGGTGGTTGTGGTTGTTGCAATGCAACCAATAAACAGCATCGTCAGCCAAAGAATGAAAGAAAGAAATCGAGATTTGGGTTGGGGAATGTGTGTACGAGGGTCTTGGGGGCGGGCTCGCGCTTCCGCTTCCGCTTGAGGGCGTCGGGGTTGTCCTTGGCGTCGAGCAGGCCCTGCACCTTCTCGCTCAGGCCCGGCACGAACGTGATCTGCACCAATCGCAAGTGTCGTGAGGTGAGCGATGGTGGCGTGATCAGACACACACAAACACACACACGCACACAGACACACACACACGCACACGACACACGACACACGACACAGTAATAGAAGAGCACACTGGCGTGCGTACCTCCATGTCCTGCTGCTCCTCCTCGTCCTGGTCGAGGGCGCCCAGGAGGGCGCGGTACTTGTCGCGCCGCTTGGGGTCGATCTTCTCGTCGCTCTTCTTCTTGCTCTTCTTCTTCTGCGCGGCGGCGGCGGTCTCTTCGACGCCGGCGGGCGTCTCGAGCTCGAACACGAACTGGGGCTCGCCCTCGTCCTCGTCGTCGTCCAGGTCGGACTCGTCCGAATCCGACGCCAGGTAGGCCTTGAAGTCCGACATCTTCAGCTCCTCCGCCGACAGCTTGGCCCTGAACGCCGCCATTCATTCACCGCCGCCGCCGCCATCACACACATGGAAATTCAGAGTTAGTCAGTCGGTCAAGAGAGCAGCTGCTGCTGCTGCTGTTTGGTTGGGGGGGGAATGCCAAAAATGGGAGGGGGCAGGTATGCGCACTTTTGCATGACGCGGCGCCGGTGGGTGTCGTCGGCGTCCCACGTGAGCTCCACCTTGGAGTGCTGGAGGGCCGATGTGTAGTACGTGGGCGCCTCGTAGTTCGACGGAATCTCCCGCGCCGACTGTGCGCGTGTGTTCGACGTGTGTCGTGTCGGTGGTCGTGTCGTTGGTCGTGTGAGAAACTCGAGCAATCACGAATCATCGGGAGAGGGCGGGGGGGGGGCGGAACCTCGCGAGGCGGGAGGTCGAAGGTGACGTCGTCGGGGATGAAGGAGAGGTCGAGCACGTTGCTCGACCGCTCGAACTCGAGGCCGTCGCAGGCCTTGTAGATCTCCCCGGCCGTCGCCGGCGAGTCGCACTCCACCACCGCGTAGTAGTAGTCCAGCTTCTCCAGCTGCGCACCGCACACACCCACACAACACGACAACACACACGACACACGTGTTAGCCACCATGTGATGGGAGAGCGTGCGTGCGTGCGGTGCGTGTCGTGCGTGTCGTGCGTGGTACCTCGTATTGGCGGAGCTTCTCCTCGTCGATGTCGCCGGATTGGGCGCCGCGCGGGCGCCTGTTGTTGTTGTAGTGGTGGTGGTGGCTGCTGCTGCCCTTTTGGCGGAAGATGCTCTGCGGGCCGTGCTTGGCCTCCTCGTCGAGGCGCTGCTGGCCGAGGCGCGACGGGTAGACCGTGACGCCCAGGATGGCGCCCGTGGCCGGCACGAACGACTGGAGCAGGACCAGGATGTCCACCGCCCGCACCTTGTCCCAGTCGCACTTGCACACCGCCAGCCGACGCGTCTCCTCCCCCTCCTCCTCCCCCTCCTCCTCCTTCTCCGCTGCCTCGGGCTCGGCGGCGGCGGCGGCCTTCTTCTTCTTCGTTTTCTTCTGCGTCGCCGTCTTGGCGGCCGCTGCGGCCTTCTTGGCTGCCACCTTCTTCTTTGGCAGCTTCGGCTCCTCCTCTTCGTCGTGCACCACCTCCGCGTCGGCCTCGGTCGTGGCGTGCTCCTCTACTTCCACTTCTGCCTCTCCCTCTTGCCGCTGCTGCTGCTGCTGGGCCTCGTTGGCCTTTTCGAGGACGTCGGGGTCGAGCTCGTACACCCGGCGCAGCCGTTGCGCGGTGGACTCCTCGGCCTTCACGGGCCGGCCCAGCGGGTCCAACTCGACTGCAGCCAAAGTTGAACACATCAGTGTGTGGTTTTTATTTATTTTTTATTTATTTAGATCAAAATAAAAATGTAAATAAAAATCGCAACAAAAATGGAACGAAAGATTGGCCTGACTGAGATGAGCGTACAAGTCTCTGCAAAATCGGGATTGGTGAAGAGGTCCGCGAATCGGGAGTCCAGACGAACCTTGCCGCCTCGCCCTTCGCCCTTGCCGCCACGGCCCCATCTGGCATCATCGGCGGCGAAGCGGGCGCTGTCATCCTTCTTCGCCCCGGTGGCGTTACCTTTTCCTCCGCGCTTCCTCTTCGAATCGGCCATCACGAACTAGTCCTCGCTGCTCACCTCGATGTGCTGAACGGAACGCTAACCAAAGATGTGGGGCTGGACTCCGGAGATGGTAGTTTCTTTACCATTTATTTCTCCTTTTCCTAGAGAAACGGGAAAGCTTAGGGGAAAATTGCAGGAAACTCATTTTTGGTATCTACTCGCCCAACTTGCTGGAAGTCGTGGGTGTTGAAGAGAAGGTGCGAAATGAGGCAACAACCCTTTGTTTGTTTTGGGGTTCCCAACACAAGAGACGAGATCTCTACATCACTTGCTGGGGGGGGGGGTTAGGTAGGCAGGTAGGCAGGGTAGAGAAGAAGAAGAAGACGACTTAGAGGGTGTTGCGGAGGTAGGTCTCGTGGGCCGCGGGGGTGAGGCCGGCGAGGTCGTGGATCTGGGCGAGGGAGCGTGCGACCATGCCGGCGACCTTGGGGTCGGTGACGAGCGAGACGCCAAAGTCGACGGTCTTGCGGCGGAGCGGGTAGAACTCGTCGTCGGTGTGGTTGGGGAAGGTGACGACAAAGTCGACGTCCTTGTTCTGGACGTGGGCCATGGCCGAGCCCGAGTCGCCCTGGAGCGGGACGGTGGTGACGGGCACGCCCTCGCGGGCGAGGAGGTCGGCGCTCTCGGGGGTGGCGAGGAAGGTGTAGCCGGCGCGGTGGAGGTCCTTGGCCTGGAGGGCGAACTCGGGGGTGATGTTGGCGAAGAGGGCGGTCTTCCTCTCGGGCCACTTGAAGTTGGACGAGAGCACGGCCTTGAGGAAGGCCTCCTCGGGGGTCTTGCCGAAGCAGGCCACCTCGCCCGTGGAGGCCATCTCGACGCCCAGGATCGGGTCGGCGCCCAGGAGGCGCTGGAAGGAGAACATGGGCGCCTTGACGCCGTAGTGGGGCACCTTGTTGTGGCAGCGCGGGTCGACGGGCACGTCCTCGCCCATGAAGATGCGCGTGGCCGTGCGGAGGAAGTCGATGCCGAGCACCTTGGACACGAACGGGAAGGAGCGCGAGGCGCGCAGGTTGCACTCGATGACGAGCACCTCGTCGCCCTTGACCAGGTACTGGATGTTGACGGGGCCCGAGACCTGGAGCTCGCGGGTGATCTTCTCCGAGATGCTCTTGATCTGCGCCTGGATGTTGTCCGGAATGGAGATGGCCGGCAGCACCGACGTGGCGTCGCCCGAGTGCACGCCGGCGTCCTCGATGTGCTCCGAGATGGCCCAGTTGACCAGGGTGCCCTTGTTGGCCACGGCGTCGCACTCGACCTCGCGCGCGCCCGTGACAAACTTGGAGATGACCACCGGGTAGTCGGGCGACACGTCGACGGCGGCCGCGAGGAACTCCTCCATCTGCTGGTCGTTGTTGACGATCTTCATCGCCGCGCCCGAGAGCACGTACGACGGGCGCACCAGGCACGGGTAGCCCACCTTGCGCGCAAAGGCCTTGGCCTCGGCGAAGCTGCTCAGCTGGTTCCACTCGGGCTGCTTCACGTGGATCCGGTCCAGCAGCGCCGAGAACTGCGAGCGGTCCTCGGCCGCGTCGATCGACAGCGGGCTCGTGCCCAGGATCTTGACGCCGGCCTTGTGCAGCGCCAGCGCGATGTTCTGCGGCTGCTGCCCGCCCACCGACACCACCACGCCCGCGGGCTTCTCCCGGTCGTAGATGTCCAGCACGCGCTCGAGCGTGAGCTCCTCAAAGTAGAGCTTGTCCGACTCGTCGTAGTCGGTCGACACCGTCTCCGGGTTGTAGTTGACCATGATCGTCTTCTTGCCCAGGCGCCGCAGCTCGCGGATGCACTCCACGGCGCCGTAGTCGAACTCGACCGACGAGCCGATGCGGTACACGCCGCTGCCCAGCACCATCACCGCGCCGCCCTCCTGCTGCGTGTCGCTGTGCGTGCCGTTGTACGTCGTGTACAGGTAGTTGGTCTTGGCCGGGAACTCGGCCGCCAGCGTGTCGATCTGCTTCACCGCCGGGACCACGCCGTTGGCCTTCCTCAGCTCGCGCACCTCCATGTGGCCGCAGCCCAGGAACTCGCCCAGCTGCACGTCCGAGAAGCCCTGCTCCTTGGCATCCCGCAGCAGCTCCACGGGCAGCGTGTCCTTCTTGTAGGCGCGCACCGTCTTCTCCGTGTTGTGCAGCCGGTTGAGCTTGTCCAGGAACCAGTGGTCGATCTTGGTCAGGTCGTGCAGCTGCTGCACCGTGAAGCCACGCCTCAGCGCCGCCGACAGGGCAAAGATGCGCTGGCTCGTGGGCTCCGTCAGCTCCTGGTGGAGCGCCTCGTCCGACGCGGTCACCCACCTGCACAATTGTGTGTGAATAAATTGTGTTTGCACCAATCCATGGTGTGGTTAGCGTGTGTGTGATCAATGATTGGCCGGAAGAGAGTAAAAGAACAAAAAACGAAAAAGAAGAAGAAAGAACGAAAAAGAGCCCTCGGGAGAGGGAGAGGGAGAGGGAGAGGGGGGTGAGACAACACGTACTTCTTGGCCTCGAAGCCCTTGTTGCCGACGTCGACCATGCGGATGGCCTTCTGGAGGCCCTCCTCGAAGCAGCGGGCGATGGACATGACCTCGCCGACGGACTTCATGCTGGAGCCGATGCGCCAGTCGACGCGCGAGAACTTGCTCAGATCCCAGCGGGGCATCTTGACCACGAGGTAGTCGAGCGAGGGCTCGAAGCAGGCCGTCGTCTCCTTGGTGACGGCGTTCTTGAGGTCGGGCAGCTCGGCGCCGAGCGCGAGCTTGGCGGCGATGTAGGCCAGCGGGTAGCCGGTGGCCTTGCTGGCCAGGGCCGACGAGCGGGACAACCGGGCGTTCACCTCGATCACGGCGTAGTTCTCCGACTTGGGGTCCAAGCTGTACTGGATGTTGCACTCGCCCACGATGCCCAGGTGGCTCACCACCTTGATCGCCGCCGAGCGCAGCTTGTGGTACTCCTCGTTGCTCATCGTCTGCGAGGGAGCCACGACTGTGCCGTATGGCGCGGGGGGAGTTCGTCAGCAGTGCGTGTGCGAAAAAGAGAAAAACGAAGAAGAACGAGAAAAGGTACCGATCGACTCGCCGGTGTGGATGCCCATGGGGTCGAAGTTCTCCATGTTACAGACGGTGATGGCGTTGCCCTTGCTGTCGCGCACCACCTCGTACTCGACCTCCTTCCAGCCCTTCATGGACTTCTCGACGAGGACCTGCGGCGAGGAGCCCAGGGCCTTGACGACGATGCTCTCCAGCTCGCTGCATGGCGACGGCGACGATGACGAGAGAATGAAAAGTGAGAAGTTAAGCCAGCATGAGGTTAAGGGGGGGGGCATGGCGAGGCGAGACGAGGGGGTGGAGGAGGTACGCAGGGTTGTTGGCAAAGCCGGAGCCGAGGCCGCCGAGCGAGTAGGCGGAACGGACGATGACGGGGAACCCGATGTTGTTGGCAGCCGCATGGGCCTGGCCGAGGGTGTCGCAGGCGACGCTGGGTGCGCTGGGGATGTTGATCTCGTTCTGCAAATGAAAAACAAAACGCGTTCAGAACTCACCCGTCCGCACGTTGACGCAGCAGCAGCAGCCTACGACGACGCGATGACGACGACGACAACGACAACGACCGTACCAAACGCTGGGCGAAGAGCTCCCTGTCCTCGGTGTCGATGATGGACTTGACGGGGGTGCCCATCACCTTGACGCCGTACTTTTCGAGAACCTTGGTGTGGTAGAGGTGGACACCGCAGTTGAGGGCGGTCTGACCGCCGAACGAGAGGGCGATGCCGTCGGGGGACTCCTTCTTGATGACCTGCTCCACGAAGTAGGGCGTGACGGGGAGGAAGTAGACCGAGTCGGCGAGGCCCTTGGCCGTCTGGACCGTGGCGATGTTGGGGTTGATGAGCACCGTCTTGACGCCCTCCTCCTTGAAGGCCTTGATGGCCTGCGAGCCCGAGTAGTCGAACTCACCAGCCTTTTGTTGTGCCACGTCACCACATACGCGTCAGTCAGTCGGTCAGTCGGGTTGCGATTGATTGGCTGCAAAGCCGCGATTCACCATCATCAGATGAAGAAGAAGAAGAAGAAGAAGAAGAAGAAGAAGAAGGCGTACCTGGCCGATCTGAAGTCCGCCGGAGCCGAGCACGACGACCTTCTTGATGGGGTGGGAAGCGCGCAGGTTGGCCGACAACGAAACGGTCTTGTTGTCGGCAAAGTCCTTGACCTGGCCGAGGAACTTGTCGAAGAGGAACGCGGTATCGTAGGGGCCGCCCTTGGCCTCGGGGTGGAACTGCACCGAGCTGAAGGGCTTGTTGGTGCACAGGATGCCCTCGTTACTGCCGTCGGTGGCGTTGGTGAAGTAGGGCTTCCAGTTGTGGGGCAGCGAGGTGGGGTCCACCGCGAAGCCGTGGTTCTGGGGCGTGATGTAGGCCAGGTCGGTGATCTGGTCCACGACGGGCTGGTTCTGGCCACGGTTGCCGAAGGGCAGCTTGTAGGTCCTGCCACCGGCGGCGTGCGCGAGCAGCTGGTTGCCCAGGCAGATACCGAAAATGGGCTTGCCTGCAACAACAACAGCAACAGCACGCGTTGTGTGTGAGTCTCACGATGCCCCAGACCAACAATCAAATGAAAAGTGAAAGAAAAAGAATAAAAAGAAGAAGAAAAACGTGTGTGGTGCGTTACCGACGTCCATGGCCTGGCGGAGGTGCTCGATGGTGGCGGTGAGCTTGGAGGGGTCGCCGGGGCCGTTGGAGATGAAGAGGCCGTGGTACTCCTCCTGGAGCTCCTTGGTGTAGTCGTAGTTCCAGGGGACCACCTTCACGGTCGTGCCCTTGCCCACGAGGGACCTGATGATGTTGTGCTTCATGCCGCAGTCCACGGCGATGATCTTGAGCGGACCGTTGCCGTAGACCTTGGGCTCCTTGATGGAGACCTCGGCGACGAGGTTGCGCTCGTAGATGTTCTGCAGCGGGATGTCCCTGTCGAACACGATCTTGGCCGGCACGGCGCCCTCTGTCGTACATGGGCGACAGTCGCGTGCGCGCGCGCGTCAGAAGCGTCGACGTGGCAGACGTTCAATTCACTTCACTTCACTGTTTCCCCCCCCCGTGTCTGGACAGTGCGTACCGGAGCGGATCTTCTTGGTGACGGCGCGGGTGTCGATGCCCTCGATGGCGGGGATGCCCTCTCCCCGCAGCCACTCCTGGAGCGAGAAGTGGGCATTCCAGTGGCTGTAGGTCGAGCTGACCTCCTGCACCACCAGACCGGCCACCTGGTGCACCGCACACACACACGCGTGCAAGGGAAGAGAACAACAACAACAACAACCGTGAGTCACGACAAGCCCGACTCGACTCCTTCGCGTAGCGCCCACGTATAGTGGGGGTGTGGGGGGGGGTTGTAGCGTACCTGGATGTGCTCTGACTCGAAGAACTTGGCCAGGCCGAGCTCATCCCTGGTCGCGGGGTTGGGGACACCGTAGTTGCCGATGAGGGGGTAGGTGCACGTGAGGATCTGGCCTCGGTAGCTGGCTGGATGGGGGGAGAGAACGAGCAAAGTGAGTTTTCCTCCGCCCCTCCAACAACAACAACAACAACAACAACAACAACAACAACAACAACAACAACCACAACAACAACAACCACAAGTACAACAGCATAGAGCCACTTGGGTGTTTTCGAGGGGGGTTAACACGTACGGTCGGTCATGGACTCGGGGTAGCCCACCATGCCGGTGTTGAAGACGATCTCGCCGGCCACGGGGGCGCGCGCACCAAAGGACTTGCCCCGGAAGAAGGTTCCATCGCTGAGTACGAGGTAGGCCTGTGGGGGAAAAGGAGGAGGAGGAGGAGGAGGAGGAGAAACGGGGTCAGTGGGCCACAGGATCGTACTAGATACGATACAGTTCCTACACACCACACACTACACCGCAAGGGAGGGAAACAAGTTTCAAGAAAGTAGGAGTAGGAGTAGGAGTAGTAGTGGTTGTTGTTGTAGTAGTTGTAGTTAACGAGCGGGGTGTTCGTACATCCTCGCGCTCGACATCCTCCCGGCGGGTGCTCAAGGCGCGAAGGGGCACGCGACCCACTTCACGCAGGAGCGACGAGGGCGCCAGCGTGCTGCTGCGACCGGCCGCAGCCGCAGCGGTACGCGCGGCCAAGCGACCCTTACCCACACCAAAGCCTGGCGGAGCCGCAGGAAAAGAAAAGGCCGTCAGTCAGTCAACGCAAGAAAGAGCGAGTGTAGGAAGGATGTACTCCTAATGCTCATGGATGTTTGTAGCTGTGGTCTTCTTCGGTGTGTGTGTGGAGGCTTGTGTTCTACAAGCACGAGTGTAGAGTAAGAGCAGAAAGTGGACCTCCGGGAGTTGGACCAGAACCCAGCTTGCCCCCCCCCCTGATCCGAACGGGGGCCATGTTCTGGAACTTGGCACCTCCTCGCAGGGATCGAGGCAGCGCCACGTCGCCGATGGAGGTGGGATCACCTTCCCTTAAGGGTGATGTTCCGCCAAACGCGTGGCGCTGCCCCAATCCCTCACCCCCTTTTTTTGAAGACCGGTCGTTGGCCTTTGGGGGCGGCAAGACCACGCCAGCCTCCTGCCTTCTTCTCGCTCCCTCGCCCTCCGCACCTCTCACCCACCGCAGTCTACTTTGTAGATTCGAATTCAATCAATCTTCAACATGCGTCGTGCTACCGCCAGCTGTGTTCGAGCTCTCCCCCGTACCTCCGCCGCCGCATCCGGTAATTTCCCTCCTCCGCCACTTTTCTGGCCCGGGCTAACGCGCAACCGCTGGCCTCTATGTAACGCCATCGTGCGATGATGATGACGATACTGACGATGATGATGATGTTGATACTGATGATGTAGGATTGAGGATGGCGGGAGCCAGGACCCTCCACACGACCCAGCCGGTGGAGATGGATATGGAGAAGAAGTCCACCAAGATGTGGGGCGGTCGTTTCTCGAAGGACATCGACAGCAGCATCCTCGCGTGGACCGAGTCGATCACCGTCGACAGCCACCTGGTGGCCGAGGACCTGTGGGGCTCGATGGCGCACGTGGCCATGCTGGGCAGCCAGGGTATCATCCCGGCCAACAACGCCGCCGCCATCCTTGACACCCTCTACAAGCTCCAGCAGGACTGGATCGAGGGCCGCTGGCAGTGGATCCCCTCGCAGGAGGACGTCCACATGAACGCCGAGAAGATGGTCATCGACGCCCTGGGCATGGACGTCGGCGGTCGCATGCACACCTGCCGCTCGCGTAACGACCAGGTCGTGCTCGACTCGAAGCTCTACGCCAGGCGCCGTCTGCTCGAGCTCCGCAGTCGCGTGGTCGATGCCGTCGAGGCCCTGCTCAAGAAGGCCGAGGCCCACAAGGACGACGTGATGGTCTCCTACACCCACGTCCAGCACGCCCAGCCCGTGTCGGTGGCCTACTGGCTCACCCACTACGCCGGCGTGCTCCTCCGCGACCTCCAGCGCCTGAAGGCCGCCTACGACACCACCGACCAGAACCCCCTGGGCTCGGGCGCCATCGCGGGCACCTCGTTCCCCATCGACCGCCAGCTCACCACCGACCTCATGGGCTTCCAGGAGGTGCACCTCCACGGCATGGACGCCACCTCCTCGCGCGACTTCATGCTCGAGTCCCTCTCCGCCGCCACCATCCTCCAAGTCACCATGTCCCGCCTCGCCGAGGAGTTCATCCTCTGGTCGTCCTACGAGTTCCGCACCCTCACCCTCGACGACGGCTTCGCCATGGGTCAGCACACCCCCCCCCCACCCCCCACCCCCACTCTCCGCTCATGCCCAATCACTCGTGTGCTAGCAACTTACCAATTCTCACACACGACGACACGCCCCTACAGGCAGCTCGATGATGCCGCAGAAGAAGAACCCCGGCGCGCTCGAGCTTCTGCGCGGCCGCGGTGGCCGCGCCATTGGTTACCTGACGGCTGCCTGCACCATGATGAAGGGTACGCGCCCACACTGCCAACATGTTGGCCACCACCAGCGGCAGCGGCTAAGGCTTATGGGGCTGAGCAGCCACAAGCTAACGCTTGCCCCGCTCAGGTCTGCCCAGCGGTTACAACAGGGACTTCCACGAGGACAAGGAGCTCCTCGTGGCCACCATGGAGCTCATGAACAAGGCCGTCCAGGTGGTGCCCCCTCTGATCAACTCGACCACCATCAACCTGAAGAGGATGGAGGAGCTCAGCTGGGGCAACTTCGCCAACGCCACCGAGCTCGCCAACTACCTCGTCGCCAAGCACGACGTGCCCTTCCGTCGTGCTCACGACATTGTTGGGTAAGGACAGCCCACCTCATCTTCGTTGTCGTCGTCATCATCAAGCGTTGGTCGCTTAACTTTTGACGACATTCTCGAGATCGTCACGACTCACGCCTGAAGCTGACCACCACCTCCACCACCGCCACCACCAGATCGCTCGTGGGTGATCTCTACCGCAGGAACGAGAACTTCTCCAACACCCAGTTCTGCTTCGAGCACCTCAAGAAGTGGGACATCAAGGCGCCCGAGAGTGAGGTGCTCGCCGTGCTGAACCCCACGCACGTGATGAAGACCTACACCTCGCTGGGCGCCACCTCGCCCTCGTCGGTCTCGCACATCATCGACACCTACACCGCCAAGCTCGGCGAACACAGGCACGTGCTGCAGACCGACCAGACCAGGGTCAAGCGCGCGTACGACGCCTCTCGCAGCCTCGCCTCCGAGGCTGCCAAGGTCGTGCACAACAAGGACGACCTCGTCAAGCTGATCCAGAAGTACAGGCCCACCAGCCACTAAGACGAACACCCCAACAACAACGACGACGACAACAACAACAACAACACGCCCCACGTAGGTTGTTGTGCCAGTTCTTTCACTGCTCGTTTCAGAAGATGATGAAGAAGACACAGTTGTTCGATCGAAACACAGCATTGCAGTCTGTCCTTTATCTCTTTTCTTTTTGAGTTACAAGCAAGCGACGAAGTGACGCGACGAGCAGCGGTAGGCGGCTCCCTTGAAGGGGGGGGGGCAGGAGCGAATATTGTACACGAATGTCGCACCAGCTCGCGCCACGCCGAACTCGCTCCATTGGTCTAGTCGTCGAAGTCGCCCTCATCGGCCAACATGTCCTTGTCGACCTCGATCACTGCATGACGACGACGATGGATAATAATTAGACCACACGAGTCATGAGAGCTCGGCCAAAAGAAGGTAGTGGTCGCTTTTTCGGGCGATCAGGGGCATGATCATGCGCCGCCATCACACACATGTTCGCCGGAGAAGGCGTGCAACGCACCGGGAACAGACGTGGTGCGAGCCTTCTTCATGATGTCCTTCACTTCCTTGGTCTTGGCCATCCTCTCTGGCGTCTTCCTTTCCCTGTTCTCCGTCTTGGGATTGGCGCCGTGCTCCTGGATTGATCGATGGGTCGAAGAGAGTCATCAGTTGGTGAGCGCGCGAGTTCCGCCCATGTGCGATCACACGCCGCCCTCGAGCTGGCGTGATCGCAACTCGCAGACCTTCGAAAGAGGGAGAGAGAGAGAGAGAGAGCGAGCGAGAGAGCCATGATAAACGCAAGAACGCGAGAAGGAGGAGGCGTGCATACGATGAGAGCCTTGATGCAGGGGATGGACGTCTTGGCCACGGCCTTGTGCAGGGGCGTGTCACCGGCGTTGTTCTGCTTGTTGGCGTCGGCTCCGGCCTCGAGGAGGAGCTCCAAGGTTTCTTCATACATCCGAACAAGAAAGAAAGTTTAGGCCACGCCGGCCACATCCACAAGAGAAGAACAAATTAAAACAGAAATTGGTGGCGAGCGACAGAGCAAAAATGGGCCAAATCAATGGCGGCAAGCGGGAGTTACCGGGGTGGTCGTGATGCGCCGAGTAGTGCAGGGCCGTGTTGCCGAGGCCGTCGGTGGCGTTGAGATTGAGGCCCTTCTGCTCCTTCACGAGCTGGCTGAGAAGCGACGTGTTGCCCCTCTGTGCCGCTGCCCTAAGTTGCGCTTCTACTCGGCAACAACGACAGAGAGATGAGCCAAGTAGAACAGAAAAGTGTAGGGGGGGGGCAAAGGCCGCAGTAACCGAGCGATTTTGCTCTGCCGACCCTGCCACGTACCGTATTCGGCCATCTGTAGCGGTTGGTCTTGTGTTCGCTGCCCTCGGCGTCTCGCTCCTGCAAGATTTGGTTGTCGATGTGTTGTTGGGCTCCCCTCATACACCGACCAAAATGAATTTTCACTCTAAGAAGGCAGATGACGTGGCAAGACTTTGTGTCGACGAGCAGAGAAAGAAGGTCCCACCCGCCTCCCCCCCAAATCCAATCCAGCAAACAGCACAGACGTTGGTGGCCAACGTTGAAGAGACGCGGTGCTGCCCACGGGACTGCCCTCATCAGTCTCGAGATGAAGAGAGGGGGTCCTACGAAAGCTCAAATTAGCGAGGAAGGAGGGGAGAGCCGAACAACGCGCTCATCAGCATTGGCTGCTGCACGAGATGAGCAGCCCGGCAGGCCGACCACGCGTGGCAGCACTCGAGAGGGCAGGACCCAGGCCTACTGTATTTGTAGAAAATCGCACGAGAATGGCTTCATGATCGCGTGCGATGAATGCGACGAGTGGTTTCACGGCAAATGCGTCAACATCTCGGCAGCACAGGGGCGTCGAATGGAGAAGTACGTGTGCCCCTTCTGCTCTGAGCGGCGGCGCAAGAGGGGCAGCGCCGCTGGGGCACCACCGACGCGGCTGCAGCAGCGAATCAACGACGACGATCAGGACTACGAGGACGCAGCCGACTCGCAGGGCGACGACGAGCCTCTCTTCTCCGACGACGACAGCGACGAGTGGAACGAGGACGAGGCCTACGTCAGGACCCCCTGGTACGACCCCGACACCGACCAGGTCGACCACGACGAGTGGGAGGCCGCCCTGCAGCAGCGGCGGCGGCGGCAGCAGCGAGCAGACGACGACGACGGCGAAGGCGACGAGGGCGAAGGGGAGGAAGAGGCGAAGGACGACGAAGCGGTGCAGCAGGAGCAGCCGCAACACGGCGGCAGCGGCGCCGCGGACGAAGAGGACCAGGAGTACCAGCCTGCCCGCAAGCGACGAGCCAGCAACGGCGCACTGCCCCCACGAGAAGGTGCGTGCCGTGCCGTGCGTGTCGTGCGTGTCGTGCGGTGTTAGCCAAAAGGATCCATTCCAACCGACCTACGTGGTGCGCGGTGCGTGGTGCGTGGGCACAGGCAATGGGGTGAAGCGAAAACGGATATACCGGGGCGACGACGACGAGGAGGACGACGATGAGAGGCGCGAGGAGGAGGAGGAGGAGGAGACCACGGACGGTGCCCCGGGCAATCGCTACCGGGGCTGCGACGAGACGACGAGAGCAGTGCGAGAGCGCGTGGTGGCCTCCCTCGCAGAGGCCCTCTCCATGGTAACTATCTTTCCCTCATCCACCCACGTCCACCGTCCCTCTATCATTCGGCGTCGGCTGCCCAGAAGCTTGCGCGCTCGCATGGATCCAAATACGCGTGTGCGCGCATACACTGATCGATGTACTGTGCGTGTGCGCGTATGTGGCAGCCACGGCCGGCGACGGCGGAGAACGAGAGGTCGGTCGTGGATGCGGCGGCGGTGCAGGCGCTGGCCGAAGGAATCGAAACGGAGATGTGGCGCATGTTCGAGCTGCAGACCAGCTCCGCCTACAAGGCCAAGTTCCGCACCCTCCTCTTCAACCTCAAGGACGAGCGCAACCAGGTACGGCCATCACCCCCAGCAGCCACGCTTGCACTCCTCCTACCCTTGGTCGAACGCCGCATGCGCTGCCATTGCTGATCGCGCGGGGTTGAAGTGTCGCTTATGGATTTTTCTTATCCACAATTTAATTTACCCCCCCCCCTATGCCACCGTCACACAGGAGCTGCGGGAGAGCGTACTGTCGGGGGAGATGGCGCCGGCGGAGCTGTGCAAGAAGACCTCCAAGGAGCTGGCGCCCACCGAGCTCGCCGAGTGGCGCAAGCAGCGCGCCGAGAAGTACTTCCACGAAAACGTCGTACGCTTTACTCACCTCCCCCCCCCTCATTCTCGTTGGCTGACGTCGTGCATGGGTGTGTGGTGTGTACGCGCACACGCAGATGATCACGGAGGAGCCCGGACCGATCGTGAAGAAGACACACAAGGGCGAGGAGATCCTGAACGCCGGCGTTCCCGCCTCTCCGCTCGCCCTGGAGGCGCCGACGCCCGCCCACGCTGCCGCGCCGTTGTTTTCTCCCCTTCTCTCCGCCGTCGCAGCAGCAGCGGCCGGCAACACTGCGCCTTCGGCCTCCCCATCGGGCGACGCGCCGCCGGTGCCGCAAGCGCGCAAGAGAGCGCGCCTGTCGCCCACGCGACCGACCGGCGTGCGGTCGGCGCGAGAAGAGAACGGGAATCGGGAGGACGACAACCGAATGGACGAGGGAATCGGCGCAGCGAGTTACGGCGGCCACGAAGGCGAAGACGAGGAGCCCATGATCGACATCAACGTCGACGTCAGCGGACCCCTCAACGAAGTGGACATGCTTGCCAGTGCCACCGCCAGCAGCCTACATTCGCCCGTTGCCGCCTCTTCTTCATCCTCCTCATCATCGTCGTCATCATCTTCTTCTTTCATCGGCTCTGCCTCTCGTGTACATGAAACCGGCGCCTCCGCAGTCTCTTCCTCTTCCGTCTCACATCCTTCCTCCTCTGCGTCTTCCCTCTCCGGCGTGGCCTCTCCGCTACGGCCAGCGCCACCCGCTAAAGCCGCCCAGCCACCCAAGGAGCACGTGCCCGGTACGCCGCTTCTTACGCACACGACACACACTGGCTCGGCCGCACCAGGTGGTGTCGGTGTCGCTCGCTCACATGTGATGTGCGGTGCCCTTATTGTTGTTGCTTCTGCAGGCGGCCCCATCTGGCGAGGCTCCTTGGTGAAAGCAAACATGGAGAAGTGTGACGTGCTCGCCCACCATCTGGCCGGACCGCACACAGCGTACGCCATCCCCAGCAGCACCACCAGCAACAGCGTACCACCTTCGTGTGCGCGAGGTGGTCAACGCGAGCGTGTTGTGCCGGTCAGCCGACTGATTCAGCCCCATTCTCCCCTCTTCCCCCGCCGCCTCTCCTCGTGCAGTTCCATGCAGCACCTGCTGCCGGAGGAGCTGCAGGTGCAAGGCCGCGTGAACCTCTCCAAGCTGTCCAAATACGTCGCCGGCCTCTCGGCTGGGTCGCGCCACAGGACCCTCTCCCTCTTCGTACGCCCCCCCCCCAATTTTTCAATCACCTCTATTCCCAAACGCGACACAGCACACAGCGACGAGTGTCTGCCAGTGACCGACTCGTTTCCTCTTGTTCTGGCGGGGTGTAGGTGCTGGAGCCGGCCGATGAGGCGTCGTCTGTGGCCTACATCGCCATGCTCCACTATTTTGGAACCAAGAGTCGAGCAGGCGTGGTCATCAACCTGCCGGGCACGGTCAAGGTGCGTTTGTTGTAGTTGTCTTTTGTGTCTTCTTGCTGCCGACTGGCCGGCTGATCGTGTTGGGGGATGAGCAGGAGATGTACGTGGTGCCCATCACGTCGGACGATGTGCACTTCCGGGACATGCTGCGCCTGGAGCAGGACAAGCTCCTCATGGTGGTGGTGACAGACAAAGACTTCGTCCAAAGGCCATGAGGAGGCCGCCAGCAAGTCTCTTTCACGGGTTCGCCCAGGTTTTGCTATCTTTTATACATACACCTTGAGACAGAACACAACATTTGGCGCCTTGCTGTGTGGGTGAAACCCAGGGCAAGCTGCCAGAGTGATGGGGTTGGGCTGGTATATTTGATTACAATCGGAGAGAACATGTTATTTTGGTGCGCAAACTCAACGAAATGTGGCCCACAAATAGAGGACATGGAAGAGAAAAGTCAACGAGAATGACCCCCCCCACATTTTCGGGAGTTTCTCGGAGTGGTTTCAAGTTTTGGGTCAGTCGCGTTGCTCGTGCCCACACAAAAGAAACAAAAGAAGAGAACAGGCGTTTCCCTTCCCACAGAAACCCCGCCCCCTTCCCGTGTCGTTCGCCGGTGGGGGAAGTCGCCTTTTCTTTCTTCTTCTCTTGCTGCCCTCCGTGCCCGACCCCTCGCGTCTCCTTGTTGCACGACCGCAAGCCCACCCGACAGCGCTTGCAGCGACATCGGCACTCGTCGATCTTCTTCCTCTACGGGGCCACCGATTGCGCAATCGGTCCTTCCTCCGCGATTGATGTACGCACGAGCTCTGGTCATGGTCGACTCTGACCCGCTCTCCCCGTCGCCTCCTCTGCCCACGGATGCGTCGATGACCTCTCCCCTCTCGATCAATCTCGCCTCGAACATGGATGGCCCCGCCAAGAAGACACCAGCCCCACTACGCAAGCGGGTCTTCTCCAAGGAGGAGGTGGCAACCCACAACTCGGAGGAGTCCTGCTGGCTCATTGTGGGGAACGACGTGTACGATGTCACGGCCTTCCTCGCCCTCCATCCTGCCGGTGCCAAGCCCCTCCTACGACGAGCGGGAGGCGATGCTACGCGCGACTTCTCCTTCCACTCTAGGACCGCCCAGAATAGCTGGCGACAATACAAGATCGGCGTACTCGAAGGCTCTGAATCCTTCTGCCTCCTCATGTGAGCGGCACCATCGGACGACTGAACTCTTGCATCGACCAACGAAAACGAAGCCACTTCACCCGCCTACTACTACTGGGTTTGAGACGCCATCTCCGCCGAGCGACGCCACAAGAGAGGCCTCTGCGCTCGTGTTCTCGGCCAGACGGCCAGACGCAGCGCCCATCGACGGCCAGCACAGGCAGGCCTCCACTCGAGCAGCCAACGCGTGGGTCGTGCATCACGGGCACGGGGCGAGGCTGCAGCAGGACACGACCGCCGGGCGTGGTGTTGTGGGGTGGCGCCCCTTGGGGTGGCGTGCGCATAAAACTGTGCCTCAGCCTGTCCCTCCCTACTCAATCTGCTGATCGCCAAACAAAGAAAATACGCCGTTTGCGCAATAAAAAATAAAATAAACAATACAAAGATAAAAACAAAAGATGAGCAGCAGTGCGGGGACAATGAGGCGGCCCAAGATGGAGGTGGCCCGTGCGGCCTTCGCCCAGAACAACAGGGAAGAGTCGCGCCTGGTCCACTCGACTGGGAGTGCCCCCACCATATGCGAGCGTGGCCACAAAAGGTGCCCCGCATCGACATCGCCCTCAATTCGCAGGTCCCTGACCCGATTTTCTTCTGGTGTGGTCGTGGTCGACGTGGCAGCCACGCGTTTCCCACCGAGTTGCGCAAGTTTGTGGAGGTGGCCGTCAAGGGCGGCAACCAAGGTACGGACCCGCCCTGCGTTGGGCGAGGACCCGCCTCCCATGACCCGCACTTGCGCGAAGAACCACCCCTCGGGCAAGCACGCGCGCCTGACGCCGGCCCATTTCTACCGAACATTTTTATATCTGTGGTGCTGCGGTGCTGCTTGTGCTGCACCACACGACCCACGCATGCGTATGTGTGCGCGCGCGTGCGTGCGTGCGTGCGTGCGCAAGGGGTGATATTCTGCTGCGTGCTGGCCACCGGGCTGGAGGCGCTGGGTGCTCCGGACGTCGGCCCTCAGTTTGCGCTGCCCTTCTGCCTCCTCACCCTCCTGGGCCTCGCCATCACGCTCGGCTTTCTCGACTGTACAGCCTCCCACCCGCTACGTCGGCTCCTTCTGCTCTCTGCATAGTACGGCCCACCACCGACGTCTGAACACCGCGTGTCGTGTGTGTCCTGTGTCTGTCTCGTGTGTGTGTGTGTGTGTGTGTGTGTGTGTCGTGAGAAGATGCCAACAGGCAGGCCGAAAAGACGTTCGGGGAGAACGAACGAGAGCGCGAGAAATGGTACCCCGTTCCCCGACCCGGGCCTTCGCACTCTCCCACATGGGGCCGCGGCTCTGATGGCGGTGGCGGTGGCGGTGGTGGGTTCCCAGGGAATGCGAGAACTACCTGGAGGGCGAGCAGAAGGAGATGGTGGAGCTCTACGTCACCAAGGGCATGAACAAAGAGGCACGCATACCCCCCCCCTCTCTTTCCCTCTCCAATTTTGGCCAACAACGTACGTTTACGTCCACACCTACATTCGTGACGCCCGTCTCATCGCATCCTCATCATTGGCCACGTAGGACGCTGAAACGGTGATCCGGTTGCTGAGCAAAAACCAGGAGCTCTTCCTCGACATCATGATGGCCGAAGGTATCCCACGTCTCCTCCGCCGATGACGGTCGACACGACACACACGACACGCACGACACACGACACACACGGGCGAGTCACACGACCAACGACACACACGACACACGGTGAGGCGTGGGCTTGTGTGTTAAAAAGGTCATGTGGTGGTGGTGGTCGTGCGCTTGTGGGTGGCTGGCGACTGCAGAGCTGGGGATCCTGCCGTACAGCGGGCTGCCGCCGCACCTGAGCGGACTGGTGACGGGGCTCGGCTTCTTTGTCATCGGCGCCCTCCCGCTCGTCGCCTATTCGCCGCCCCTCTCCTCCCTCGCCTTCGTCTCCGGCATCTACGGCCACTCCTTCGGGCTATTGCTCGCAGCGGCCGTCATCCTTTTCGTCCTCGGCGGCATCAAGGTACGCCCCGCCCCTTGGCCTTTGGGTGGCCAAGCGAGTGGGAGGTGGCGCAGACTCTCATGCTCGCGGTGACGCACACGCCACGCATGTACGCCGATGACGACGACGACGACGACGTAGAACTTCTACTGCATCGACCTGGAGGCCTGGTGGAAGCAGGGCGTGCACATGGTGGGCCTGCAGGCGGTGGTCGTCGCGACTGCCATCGGCCTGGGCACCCTCCTGCAGACCTGCTCCCTCTTTCCGCACGGCAGCTGCCACCCGCTCCTCCATCTCGCCTCCTCCTCCTCCTCCTCCATCTCCTCGTGAGAGTCTCTCTCCCGTAGTATTCGGATGTACAGTGCGTTGCTTCCATTTTTTTGCACCGGAAGACAAGAAGACAAAGTCTTTCCTCTCTTCTCGAGCTGTGTGCTTGCGCTGTCTCGCTGTCATGCGCCCCATCATGGGGCGTGGATGTCATTCTGCGCCGACAAGCATCCCCCCTACTAGAAGCCCACCTTGCCCAGTCGCACGTCCGACTGACGGCCACGATGGTAGCGACGACCACGCTGGTGGTCAGCGCCGGCGAATGTTCAGTGGAGGGGAAGGGAGGGCGGCCTACCTTGGGATCGGCGGTGTAGTTCTGGACCGAGACCAGGAGGTGGTTGATCTTGCTCTGCAGCTCCCGCAGGTCGGCCACGTACAGCAGTCGCAGCACCGTGGCCGCCTTGTCCAGCTCCGAGTCTGCCGGCGTGTGCGGTTCAGGAAAAGGTTAGCGGCGGCGTTGCAACCATAAAGCCCACCACATGAACCGCCCGCCAGTGTGCGCGTGGCGGGGCAGCAGCAACAGAGCACGCACCTCCCGTGGAAAAGCCCAGGGGGAACTTCTCGAGTACGCCCTTCTCGTGGGTACGGGCGTCTTCACCCACTTGCCGGTGTGCCTCCTCAAGGGCGGGGGCCGAGAATCGCCGCTGGACCAGGTGCGCGATGGCCTGCGTGAGGAGGGAGGGGAGAAGAAGAAGAAGAAGAAGGAAGAAAACATCGCGCGTCGGTACTCACGAGAAAAGCACTCTTTGGGCGGGGGGGGGGCAGCTACCTTGAGCACGGCGAGTGTGTCTTCGTGCGGAGGCAGGCCCAGCACGTTAGCCAATGACAAGACGGCTTCGCGGAACTCCTCAGACGTATCTGCAGCACAGATGCACGCACCGCGTATGAGACTTGCCTGCCTTTTGCACGCCGGCCGCCACGATAAGCCGCCGCAGCTGAAGCAGCGATGTGATCGAGACGGGAAGGAATGGGCGAGGTACAGTCGGTGTTCTTGTTGAGCTGCTGTATGGCGTGGGTGAGCTCTCGCGAGCGCTTGTACTCCTGCGCCGCCTCGTTGTAGAGGCCGGCTGTGTGTCGCCCACCGCCCACCACACGCATGTGCCCGGGTTACTACCACTCTCGCCAGGAGAGCCAAAAAATAAAAATTGCCCCCACCGCTACACCACGTACCGTGGTCGTCGTAGGCGAGGCTGAGCGCGTAGCGCACCAACCAGTCGATGGCCGCCTCGTTGCCGTCCGCATCCACGCTGCCTGTCCACCCCAGCTCGCCCAGGTACTATGCGTAGAGGGACACACGACACGACACACACGACACAGCACGCGACGTGGGGGCAGTGTGAGCCCGCAGCGGCTGGACGCACCGTGTAGGAGGGACAGCCAAATAGCGGCAATAGTGGGTGGTGGTGGTGGTGGGGTAGGCGGCGTACGTGAGCGAAGCGCGAGGGCCACTGGGCATCAAAAAGGCGCAGCGGCTTCCTATCCTCGACCTTGAGGTGTCGCACCTTCATGTCCTCCAGGAAGACCACCACCGCCTGCACTTCCTTCAGTGCTGCAGCCCTCCGCCACCACCAAGCGCCCCTTCGTGAGGGTGCATAGAAACACTACACAGAAATCGGTGGGAGCGGGCATACAGGAGGGGTCGAAGGAGGCATATTGGGGGTATCCCAGCGCACGTAGTCTGCGTTCAAATCTCTTCCCACCGCCGCTCATGCTGTCGATGCTGTGTCGTGTGTGGTCTCGGGCTTCTCCCTTCCTCGGGAGCTGCTGGATTTTCTTACTTTTTTTTGTTTTCGAGGTGTTTTCCTGTGGCCATTCCGCGAAGCCACAACAATGAAATTCTTCACAAGTCGTGTAGGGCGGGCGCGAGGGCCTCGCGCTTCACGGGCAGGCCGTGGGCGGCCGCGGCGGTGGCGGTCATGTCGTAGTCCACCACAGAGTGGCGGTCGTGGTCGCGGTCGTGGTCGGCACGCGGGTGGGCTTTGAGGGCTGCGTACTCATCGTGGGGCAGGTGGTAGAGGTGGAGGGAGATGAGCACGATGACCGATCCGAGCACCAGCTGGATGGAGGGCACGCGGCTCAGCCACAGGGAGGAGACCAGGATGGTGATGATCATGCTGATGGAGTGGGCGTAGACGCGCGCGATGTTGTCCAGATACTTGACTATCGCACCCATGACCAGCCCCGTGAGCGCGTGATTCAGCACTGCGCAGAAGTATCCATTCGCCCACGTGGGGGGGTCCCAAGTGAGCGTTGACCGTCATCGGCCGTAAAACGAAAGCCCGAGCGCACGCACGTACCGGTGATGGCCGTCAGGACGTCGCTCCCGGCGAGCATCATGATTCCTGCAGGACCGGTTGCGGCGCGCGTTCGCGTGAGCTCCCGTGCCCGGCCGCAAGGTGCGGGGGAAGGAGGGGGAGGAGGCTTCGCACCCATGCTGTTGACCTCCTTGTAGTAGTAGGTGTAGAGCGGGACCGCGTTGAGTAGGACACCGTAGGCGTACAGCTGTGATGAACCCCCCCCCCCAAATAATGTGTGGCATGAGAGTGGGGGGGCCGCTCAGTGGGGCGGAAGGGTAGAGCAGAGTAGAGTGCGCACCTGGACGTTCTGGAAGTGGAAGGAGTTGAACTGCTCGGTGGGCCGCTTCATGAGGTACTCGAGGTACACGCCCGCGAATCCGCTGATGAAGCAGTAGAGCAGCGCCAGCAGAAACCCTGCAGGGTACGTATGGTATCCATAATAATACCGTATTACGGTACGCGCAATCATTATGGAGCAGCAGACACGATGGCGGTGAGGGGCCACCTCACGTGCGCACACGTAACCCCTTCGCGGGCTCGCGTCGGTGGGCGCGTACCGGAGATGGGGATCGCCGAAATGATTTCCTCGCCGCACGTCACCAGCTGGTGTTGGAGTTGTTGGAGTTGTCGTTTGTCGTTTGTCGTTTGTCGTTTGTCGTTTGTTGTTGTTTAGAAGGGGGTGGCGCATGTCAACGACAGCGGCGGCAGCGGTGGTGGCAGCGGATCGCCTCGTGTGTACCTGCGATGTAGCGGTGCCCACGCACAAGAGTACCAGCGACGCCCATTGCACTGCAAACACCACTCTCGGTCAGCACACACGACACACACACGACACACCACCACAAAAACAAGGCGCGGGAGAAAGGGGCAAACCTTGGTTCATGTGGCGGCGGCGGCGGAACACCAGGCGGTAGAAGAGGGACGTGGTGAGGATGCGCATGTTCCCTGCAGGCGCGCCCAACCCAACCAACGCCCCGATCGGACAAAGAGGTCAGATCTGAGCAGCGGCAGCAGCAGCCACGTGGCGGAAGGGAGGTGGCCGGCATGGCAAGGCAAGCCGAGGGAGGGAGGGGGGGGACCGAGGATTTCGAAGGTGGCGGGGTCGATGAGGGTGAGGATGGCGAAGAGGAGGTTGTCGTTGACGAGGTAGAGCAGGGCGGGCATCAGGTAGTGGCGGCTCTCCTCCCACCGCCACGCGAGCTGGCCCAGCCGACGCCCGCCCGCCACCACGCTCGCCGCAGGACCCGAGGGACCCGCGCTGCCGCCGCCGCCG